GGGGGTGATCAGTTTTTCTTGAGCCAGACGCAAGTTGTCCGTATTATATATTTACTTCTTAAACTAATTTAAATATTGAATCTTCTTTTTAATAGTCAGTATTATTATTACTTATACTTTTTTGAATTAGTTTGAGTATTTAATTTTCTTTCTAATATTATTTAAAATCAGAAATGTTGGAATGTTTATTTTACTAATAAATTGAAACAAGCAATACATGGTTTTAACATTATTGATATTAACATCTTTTGATTGTCCCAAAGCAATTTTCATTTGCCTATAGCTCCTACAAAGTAAAATTTTAAAATATGTTAAATATTTTTGGTTTTATTTTTAACAATGTTTACAAGAATCAGCCATTGTATTGCCCTTAAAACATTTATTTTTCAGGAAACTCCCAAGAATGCTTCAGGTGTTTATAGCTTTTTAATGTTTAGTCTTTCATAAAATGCCTCCCATTAACAATGGCTAAATGTTATGTGTATGTCCTGGTCTAGACCAGTGAGGAACACAATAACAATCTGATTTACTATACCACCCATTGCAGTGTTAATGCTGGGTATATTCAGACCTTGGTTTGGCAGTTGAACCCACTGTTGCATTACCTTCAACTAGAACAGAATAACCCAGTCCTGGGTTTGAACCCTGCCCACCACCCTCCCCTTTGCTGGAGGTTTGGGCTAGAATGCAATAATCTTTAATTCTGAAGGAACATCTGAAATATGTCAAACAATAACAAACAAAAATGTATGTTTGTTAAAATACACTTGGGAAATAAATTTTAAACAACATATTAAACTTTTGATTAAAGCCTCAAGAGCATCCCATCCCTGACCTGTTGAGAACTTTTGTGGACCACATTACAGATCATATCACAAGCTGCTGCATCAAGGCCATCAATAAGCCTAATGGTTCCGTGTTAGTCACAGGAGGGGGTGCTTTCAACACAACTCTTATGCTGGACTTGAAGCAGAAACTCTCAAAACATAACATTAAGGTTAGTCTTATTTTATCTTATCTTATAAAATACAGATGTTACTTCAAAAAAGAAGATGATTACGTACTTTCATGCTTATAACATGTTCAGAGCGCTTTTGGTCCAATCTCATCTTTGGACCAGTGGGGGGGAGGGGGTATCTAGGACTTGGTTTTCCGTGCTGCCTTTAAGCGCTCAGTAAACACAACTCTGCCCGAGTCGGGTGTCGAACCTCAAGCCCCCTTCTAGGTAGCCAAGCCAAGTTCAAGCGCACTTGGCCTCTCAACCACGCTTGTTACCTTATGTGAGATAAAGACGGTCTTAGGAAATATTGTTTTCTATAACGAGATAGATTCATATTTATCTATATATTGCTTGTTGGTTATTTTAAGTTTGTGAGCAAAAGTTTTTAATTCAAATGAATTCAGAAATTAAGTTAACATAAAAAAAATTAAATTCCCCTTTCAGACCTTGTTATCTATAGAGTAGATGATGTAAAGATCATCTATTTCTGTGGCCCACAGTTAGCGAGGGCGTCATGCAGCCAGCGTAATGACCAACTGCCTTTACTTTTCCCAACTAATGTCTGTCAAGGTAGTTTTCTTCTCTAATATATGTATGTGTACTTCATTGCTGATTACTAAATGTACCCAAGTCCTGGGCAATATTGTAACGACACATATAAGGACAGAATAAAGATTTTGAATGCCAATTCACTGACATATTACAAGTTTATTACATACGTTGTAATATAATAGAGGCTCAGTTCTGACATTTGAAATATCCAGTATCAGTTAAAATATAACAGCACAATATCCCATAGACTGAATAATGACTCTACAAAAATAATTAGAGTAAAACAATCCAAAACAAAAACAGTTTTGAAGTCAACAACCTGAATTGCCTCCCTTCTCCTCTACAGGAGACCCAGGCTGACCAGAACTCAGTCCTGACAATGTCAAAGCTGGTTGGACTCACAGGCACCCTAAATATCACAAAATTAAAAATCCTAGTCTTCACCTAGATTCAAACCCATGACCCCTTGGTTCAGAAGCAAAGTGCTTTTCCACTCAGCCACTGCACCTCATCAGAAATTAAGCTGAGAAATAATTTGGACTATGAAGAAAAAAAATTCAAAAATGTTTCAAAATAGGAAAATTGTGATGTTAGTATAAACTAATTACCACATTCAAGTTTGACCATTGCCAGCATCCTCTGACACACTCAGATAATATGTCAAATAACAGAAAAAACTAGTGTAGTTATTAACAATTTAAAATAATGATTGTCTAAAATGAATAGTGAGACATGATTAAATGAAATGAGTTTGATATTATTTAGCATTGATCTATGCTTATACATAGAGTATATTAATGGGAACCGGTAAGTAGTTTCTTTAGCATTCTGTGACACTACAACCTGAGACAGTTCAGTTGAAAACTCCCTCTAATGGAACTTCAAAATGATTTCTTACTAGTGTAGAGACTGCTAGTGAATGAGCAATTATGACATTTATTCAAAGCAAGATGGTAGATTACATATAGATAAATAGACAGTTGAGGCTAGGCTTTCATAGGAGCAACATCTTTATTATAATGACTGAGATAGACTGTTCCTGTTCTGGATTATCTACAGACCCAGGTTAGGCATCTTACACAGAAATAGAATTTTAATAGTTCTTCAACAGGCTTCATGTAATCTCTAACTATTAACTAAGATATCCTAATACAATACCATAGATGCAAGTTATACAGACAGAGTGAGTTGATACAAGCTTTGTAAAAACTTACACTGAATGAGTTCAATACCTCTGGATGCTGTAGACCAGAACACAGCCAAAGATACCAGCAACACTATCAACAACATTGTCAAACAAAGCCTCAAGATGGATGAATATTTTTATGTTTATAAATTTGACTGACGTTTGCTCAAGGTAAACGAGACAAAAGATACTCCACTCAATACTACATTATGCACTATTCAAGCTATTAATTAAGATGTGTAAGCAACATACCCTAAAAGAAACACTTCACAGCTGCCCACTAGAATGTATTTACAAACAGAATATACAAAGTCATCTGGCATTGTTAAAAGGAAGAATGTTTCTTTCATTGCATTATTTTGTGATTAAGGCTAGATAAGAACATAGATCCACTTTCTCATTTCCCTGTGTGGATTTGGACATTTTATCTCAACCACACAGCCTAATAGCTAGGAGGGTGAGAAATTCAAAAACCCAATAGATAAAAGTGAGGAGGATAATTCTTTAAGGCTGAATCAGGAAAACCAATTCTTTGCTGAGTTTTAACTCTCTAATTAACATGCATAACTAGATTAACACTTAGGACCAGCGTCTGTAACTTATAAGATAAGATTAAAAATATAGTTGAATTTTTCAAAGAATAAGTTATAAATAAGTTATAAAGTTATAAATAGCAGTTGTATATTTTAGAAAGAATCTTAAACATTGTGTGTCCTTAACTTTTTTCTTACTATCTGCATATTGAGAATACTTCCAGGTTTAAAAAAAAAAAGTCAATGCATCTCCTTCATTTTAAAGGAAAAGTTCACATTGATAAAATAAAAAGCTGTGCTGCTTGTAATACATCTCAATGTAATCCACAGGTTGTTGATGCAGAGGATGAGATAGTCGAATACAAAGAAGCTCTGATTTTTGCATTTCTTGGACTTCGCTCATTGCTCAACATGGAGAATGTCTTCTGTTCTGTGACAGGCAGCAAGACAGACTGTGTTTCCGGCAGCATACACCATGGCACCACTTGCAACAGCACCCCAAGCTTGCAGGACAGATTTAACTTCATGATCCGCAAGAGGAGTCTGGGTGTGAATGAGTTGAGGATTATAAGAGAGAAGTAGTGTGATAATGTACAGCACTGCTCCAGTATCTAAATCTATAGGGTTTACATAGCATTGATTCACTACACTGCTCCAGTATCTAAATCTATGGGCATTGATGCACTATCAGTTGTGTCCTACAAGGTTTTCATTCAGAACCAGTGTCATTATTAGTGTCCATTGATTCAGCATCATTTGTCTTATTATGTATTAATTCAGTATCATTTAACTGTGTCTTACAAGGTATCACTAACTGTTTGTCTTAAGAAATATTCTTTCAGTTTAATGTTTCTGTCAGGAGAATATTCATTTTATCTTTTGTTCATCATTATGTGTTTTTACAATATATAATTAACTGGTGCTTCATAAATATAGCCTGTCTATCTCATCATTGACAGTTGCTTTTTTTTTAAGATAAAATACAGTTGACCCTTAATAGCCTGATGTTTACTGGACCTGGTTGATGTCAGATTAATAATGGTTAGTTGTTCTTGTTAGTTCAAAAATTGTACCCATATATGTAAATAATATTTATGACATACAGTAATAAGATCTCTTAGACTTTCAATGGTATAAAATAAGCAAAAGACAAAAAAGAAACACTTTGTTTCTTTAAAAAAAAAAAAAACTATATATATTCACTGGATTTTTTTTCTGTGTGGTCTTCAATACACTTCACAAAATGTTCTATTATCTCCCTATTTTTCCATAGTGTCATAAACAGTAGGTCACTGATGCTATAAATAGAAAAAATGGCAGTGCATTAGGAGTTTCGCCAGTCATATCTTTTATAATTTCTCAGGAGCAGATAATGGTTATACTTATGTTTGTTCACCATCATACAAGACACAACAAAAACTTCAACACAAAAATAATATGGTAGCTAAAGTAAACTAATACATTTAGTAATCACAGAAAGGCAATCCAGAATGTATCAGCACATAAGAAGAAGCATAAGTAGATGAAGCATACATTGTCACTGTCAGATAGACTGAGTGCATTGGATTAAAAAGTGACTATCAAGGGTCAACTGTAACCTACTTTTAAGGCATGAGAGGAATGACTATTTTTTTATACTGAACAAACAAAACAAAAAACAATATGGTATTACTTTGTTTAATAACAATCCATTTGAATGCTTTGAAAGTCTACTAATCCCCCCCCCCCCCCCCCCCCCCCCCCAAAAAAAAATTCTAAATGGGTTTATTATGAAATATTGACTTCAAATGTTAAAGATGTATGTATACTATGGCATTTTCAGATATTATAATATTTTTGTAATGTATGTACATCACAAGAGAATAAATTATCTTATCAGTATCTAGAACTACTTGGCACACTTTTGTTTTATTCAATAGTAATATTCTTCAAGAAAGATAATTAGTGTAAAAAAATATTTGAAAAAAAAAAGTCAATAATGAATCTCAGAACAGCAGCCAAAGTTACAATGTGCTGGTCTATTTAAGTGTGAAATAATACAGCAGTTGTACAGTAAGTGGTGTCTCTGTTACATGATACTTAGAACACTTTTTTGGTTAGACAGTGTTGAACCATTTTATCTATTCATGTAGTAGGGAAATGACAGAACACTTTTTTGGTTAGACAGTGTTGAACCATTTTATCTATTCATGTAGTAGGGAAATGACAAGCACATTGGTTTTACAGAACAATTAGATCTAAAGTACAAAATGTGATGAGATTATATAAACTACAAACAAAAATATTGGTGGTAATTCTATAAGCACATGCACTTTACAGTGGATCACTTAATCAGTGAAGGACTTGAGCATAATGAAGTCAATGGAAAAGATTAGTTCAGACAACACAAAGTGATATTCCTTTAATTTACTATAAGACAGTGAATGGACTATTTACAATGCTAGAAATGGCATTTTGATTCCTCTTACAATAATGAACAACTTTTGGCAGCACTTGGTTTCCAAAAGTCTAGAATGCTATAATTAAGTATAAGTTTTTTTTTAATTATGTTCTTTCTATTATACATCTGTGCCTGAATATGTATTTAACAAAACACTTCTCTGTGTAAATAGTTTAAGCATTGCACTCACTCCCTTTGCCATAATATCAGTATATACAGGTTAACTCACAACCATGCAAAACGTAAAAACAAAATCATGTAAAAATTTTCTTTAGTTTCAATAATGAAACAGAAATAAATATTGAGTGTCTTACAAATATATATATATATAAAACGTTAATAGCCTTACTTTTGATCCTATAAAAATCTCACTAAACTAATTTCTGATGTTACTCTTTTTTGTTTTGTTTTTTTAAAAGTCAACAAAAAAATCTTTGACTAAAACTACAATATAAAATTGAGTTAAAAATCTCTTACAATGTGATTCTTTTAAATTGCAAGTATGTAGATCTAACCAAACATTTCCATACGGTGTGCAACAGCAAAATATAACTATAAACATTGTAAATCTGGCATTAATAACTTGACAATTATATCTGGGACATTAGAATGTATAAACAGAATCAACAATATGATGTTTGGCACTTTATAATATCAACAAATAAGTACACACAATCATTTCACAATTTTTTTTTTCACATTATAAATAATGTTCTTTATGTATTGTATTGTAAATAAAATTGCTTAAATAAAACATTTCTACATATGTCTAACACTAGTATAAACACAAAAAAATCACTCAGAACATTGAAAAAAAATATTCAACAGATCACAGCATTAATTGTATATATGAAACTAAAGTTCAAATGTCTGGAGTATGGAAACATTAAGATAGTTTTGTTATAGATAGTAACAGAAACACAATCAGTTATATGCATGTGACTGCACCAAATAACATCAAAATAACACAACCCAAGTTTATGGTACAGATCATATACATACAGAGTAGAGGTTTCTAGAGGTATACAACCAAGGTTTGCACATGATAAAACTATGCTATACAACCTAACCATGGATCCTCACACAATACATATAAAGACTTTCGTCCATCATGGTTCGATGATGACCACTTTTGTCACCCAGGGGGCTGAGGGCTAGAGCTAGTATCATTGGCCTTGTTGTTTTTTTTCTCTGACGCTTTTCTTCTGCCAGTGATGTTCTCTTGTCCTCTGCAATTTGTGCACCAGTTTTCACAGCGCGACGCCATGATGCTCTATCATGTGCTTCCATCTCCCAGGCGGCAGAGTCAATGCTAAAGGCTTTCATGGAAGCTTTGAGAGTGTCCCTGAAGTGTTTTCTTTGTTCACCCTGTGAGCGCTTCCCTTCCCTTAATTGGCCATACAGGAGTCATTTAGGGAAGGAGTCTTCCATTCTGCAGATGTGGCCTGTCCATCCAAGACCATTCATTATAGAAGGTCTCAACACTGACCTGCAATGTCACAATCTGTGGGCAGTTTGGACTGATAGCTCGTTGCCACATCACAGATGTGTAAAACATGGCAACGAGCTATTGGTCTAAACTGCCCGCAGGTTGTGATGTTTCAGGTCAGAGTTCAGGCCTTCTATAGTGATTGGTCTCAGTCCATCGCAACTGGAACTGCATCAAGATTGTGTGGGTGCTTTGCATGCCCGCTCTTTGAAGGACTTCAGTATTACAGATCATGTCGAAGTGGTTCAGTTTTTTTTTGGCATGTTTTCTATATACTGTCCATGTTTCTTGGGCATAGAGCAATGTAGGGAGAATGACAGCTTGACAGCCCCCTAGCTTCTGGTGATACCTCATCTATTCCAAACTTTTTTAAGACAGGCTGCCATAGGATGCACTGGCTTTGGCATTACACAAGTCAAAATCATTAACGATCTTTCCGTTTCTGGAGAGTGTGCTGCCAAGATAGATGATTCTGTCCACTGCATTTATTTCCTGTCCGTTTCTCTTAATGCTTGGGTCTGAGTAGGCTTTACCTGGAACAGGCAAATACAAGACTTCGATCTTTTTGTGTTTATAGAAGTCTGAACATGCTCTTGAAAAGTCACTGATGATGCTCTGCAGACCATTTTCAGAGAATGCATTAAGGACACAGTTGTCAGCAAATAGCAAGTCCTTGATTACAGCTGATTTTGATTTTCCTTTGAGCCGCCTTGGGTTGAATAGACTACCATCAAAGCATACCTTATATTTATTCCATTATTCTCTATATTTGTGAATGCATCTGTCAGCAGTGTGGGTGCTAGGACACAACCTTGTTTTACCCCCTTTGATACTTCAAAGGGCTCTGATAGTTCTCTATACTCTCCTAAACACTAGCCTTCATGCCATCATGAAATAAGTCTCACCATAGTTATGAATTTTTGTAGACATCCGTACTTGACATAATATATACGAGTCCTTTTCTGCCACCCATGGATGCTCAAACAATACAACTCAGCCATGGATCTTTTCACAATAAAACCCAGCCATGGATCTTCTCACAATACAACCCAGCCATGGATCTTCTCACAATACAACCTAGCTATTGATCTTTATACAATACAAGTTAACCATGAATTCTGACCCAATACAATGTAGCCCACACTAAACAGCATACTTTATCACCATAAACATGCTGTACATTTTTCCTAACACTTTCTTATTACAGAGATTGGCACATTGAAATCAGCACAAAACATGAGGAGAAAGAAAAGAAGGCAATGAACATGCAAATTTGGCACTAAATTTTATCAATATGAACAATTTCAATTTTGTTTATAAAGGAATGACTTGTACGTTTGTTAGAAATTAATCTGAACAGCGCTTCCAATTTGAATTTGGATATAGTAATTATTTAACCCACTAGGCATCAAACATTAAGAATTTATTTAACCCACTATGCATTAAACATTAAGAAATTATTTTACCCACTATGCTTCAAACATTTAGAAATTATTTAACCCACTATGCATCAAACATTACGAAATTATTTAACCCACTACGCTTCAAACATTTAGAAATTATTTAACCCACTATGCATCAAACATTTAGAAATTATTTTACCCACTATGCATCAAACATTTAGAAATTATTTAACCCACTATGCATCAAACATTTAGAAATTATTTTACCCACTATGCATCAAACATTAAGAAATTATTTTACCCACTATGCTTCAAACATTAAGAAATTATTTAACCCACTATGCTTCAAACATTTAGAAATTATTTAACCCACTATGCATCAAACATTTAGAAATTATTTAACCCACTATGCATCAAACATTTAGAAATTATTTAACCCACTATGCTTTGCTTCAAACATTAAGAAATTATTTAACCCACTACGCTTCAAACATTTTGAAATTCATCCTGCATTAGAAAAAAAACAACAAAAAACAGATTAAAATGTTGAACAATAAATAATAAAACATCTAGTAAAAGGAAATTTAAATTGTGGAATTGAAATAAGGAACATGGTGCCACAGTGTGACAGACCACTAAGCTGAGCAGATTGAATTTCCATCTGGGTAACTTCAAGAAATTTAAATATTTCCAAGTCCAATCATGCTGATATAATAGGTATGTGAAATAAATTAAAGAATGTTCGGCAAGTCAGCCAAAGTGTTATAGAATAATGACTTACAAACTAAAGGCTTCTCAGTCATCAGACTGAACAGAACATGCATGTTACACTTTTAAGCCTAATATATAAAGACATAAGTTTGGGAGAAATTAAACCAGTTGTATGTAATATTTCTTCTTTGTACAATGGAATGGAAAAAGAATAAAATAACTTGCTCTTTTCAAAAATACATTAGAATTCTCTAAATCTCAGTCCTCACTATACAAACTTATCTCCAGTTTGTAAATGATGCAAATGTAAAATTGCGTAAAATTGAATTAAGTGTAAAAAAAAAAGATTTTTTGACCATTTGTCACGGATGAATGTCTGTATGTGTGTATAATCTATTTTTACAGATATATGTCAGTTGGAACCTATGTGCAAATGATCGAAAGTGTGCTAGTTTGTAGACAAGGAGAGACCAGCGTGTAATATGTGCCATGAAGTATAGTAAAGTTTCTGTGTTTTGATCGAGTCGTTAAGTGTTTGATGTCATTTCAGCGGAACCTAGGGACACCTAGACTTGGAGAGAAGCAATGGTAGTTTCTAGAGAGCTATTGAAATATAGATATAGTAGAAAGCTGTAACATATATTTGGAGGCTCATTCTTCTAATTAGTTGACTTAGTTTTGGAAGGCATTAGGTAAAACTGCGGTTCGCCATTGTGAAAAGGTCAAGGACCAAGAAGGCCTTGAAGTCGTAATGTGTGTGTGCTCAGTGGCATGGTGGGAAAAAAAATAAGTCAATCAGCTGAGACTATACTAGGTCAAACACAGTGATAAAGCAATTTGTATTGTTTATATTGGATGCTAGACATATAAACAAGAATGGCAGAGAGAGATAATCACAGATAATAGCCGCTGGAAAAGAGATGGTATTGACTGGAACCGCTTTACAAGAATGGGTGAAAGAAAGAGAAGAAAGAGATCAAGATGAAAGAGCTAAAGAAAGAGACCCTGAAGAAAGACTTAGAGGCTAAAGAGAGAATTAAAAAGGCTGACATTGAAATACAGAAATTGAAAGTAACAGAATGGGAACTCAGAGAGTTGAAAGGAGAAATAGAAGAACAAATGAAACCTGGATGGAAGCCAGAGCTGCCACCTTACAATGAGAATG